TTAAGTTTAAGGCAGCTAGATTCCACATGGCCTACTACGCAGTTCAAGTCCAGGACCCAGCAGGTTGAAAAATATACGGGACCCCTGAACCTATTAATATTTGATTCTTTAAAAAAAAAAAACAGTTCAAATGCAACCTTTGACATTGTCACCGATGACAACCATGATTTTGTTAGAGCCCCTCCATGATTTTGTTAAAGCACATTTTAGCCCACTTCTTCTCTAAGTAGTCGCGAGCTGGTCTTCCTCACAAGACTGCAGTCCCTACTTGTCCAAAATCTGAAGAGAAGAAGGATTGCAGTGTGGCCATTCTTCCAGGAGGGATACTTTCTCATCCCCCGCTGCAGTCTCTTTCTGGAGAGTATGCATGCCCTACAGCAATTTAAAAAAAAAAAATACAAACAAAATATGTATCACATCAAGTTTTTCTCATGCTCAAAAACCCTCCAGTGGCTTCTTGTCAGCCATAAAACAATCCCCATAGTCCTACCCTGGCCTACAGCCTTGTCCTAGACAGCTCTCTGGTCTCATCTTCAGCTCTGCCCCCTCACTTTTACTGTCCCAGTTTCAACCTCTTTGCCATTTCTTCCTTACTCCAGATTTGCCCCATCTCAAGGCTTGTCACATGACCTCCGAACGCATTCCATTTAAGAATCCGTTCCTCTGAGAGTCCTTCCTGATTCTCAATCTAAAATAATTCCATCAAGTTCTGTTTCATATCCTGCTTTTTTGTTTGTTTTTTGGTTTTGGGGTTTTTTGTTTTTTTTTTTTTTTTGAGAGGTTTTTGCTATAAGGCATGTGTGCTCACCAGAAAGACAGAGAGAGACGGAGAGACAGAAAACGAGAAATCACCCCCTAGGGGGATGGCCACGCCACATTCCCTTCTCCTCCTTTCTCCTCTCAGGATCTTGGGCACGCACGCACACACGCCCAGCTTGAGTTTAAGCCACAGGGTCCAGGACTCAAACCCCGGCGAACTACTTGGGAGTCCAGCGACATAGCCATTACACTAACTGCTGGTCCTAGTTTTTGTCTTTGTTTTTGTTTTTGTTTTGTTTTGTTTTTCATAGCACTTATCAGTACCTATTATTGTATTTATCTCTATATTTACATTAGAATGCAGGTTCCATGAGAACAGGGGCTTCATCTGTATGGTGTTCACTAATATATCTCATGGCATAAAGTTGGCACCCAGTAAGTGCATACTAAAAATTAATGAATGGCCAAAGTAAATAATAAGTTGTTCAATGTGTGGTAAGTACAATGGAGGAAAAATGAAGTTGAGTAATAAGGAGGAGAGGGAAGAGTATAGAGGCATGGTGAGGAAGCTATTTTGATTAGGGTAGATCTTTCTGAGGCAGTAACAGGGACCTGAAAGAAAGGAGAGAATAATCATGAAATACCTGCAGAAAGATTGTTCTAGACACAGGGCATAGCAAATGCAAAACCTCCCTGGCAGGAAAGGCTGGTAAGTGGGAGGACAAGTGAGGAGGTTATGTGGCTAGAGCAGAGAAAACAAGAATAGATGGCAAGGGATGAAGCAAGCTACGAGGTCTGGGACTCGAACCTTGGTTGGCTATGTGGGAATGTCTAGCGCCTTAACCACCACGCCATCTGCTGGCCCCATATTTACTTATTTATTTTAATTTGACCACAAAGGGGCAGAATGAAAGAGAAAAAGGGAGAAAGCCAGCCAGTAGGTCCGGGACTCGAACTGCAGTCAGCCATGTGGGATTCCAGGGCTCTAACCGCCATACCAGCTGCTGGCCCCCGTCCTTTGCCTAGTTTTTCTCATGCTCAAAAACCCTCCAGTGGCTTCTTGTCAGCCATAAAACAATCCCCATAGTCCTACCCTGGCCTACAGCCTTGTCCTAGACAGCTCTCTGGTCTCATCTTCAGCTCTGCCCCCTCACTTTTACTGTCCCAGTTTCAACCTCTTTGCCATTTCTTCCTTACTCCAGATTTGCCCCATCTCAAGGCTTGTCACATGACCTCCGAACGCATTCCATTTAAGAATCCGTTCCTCTGAGAGTCCTTCCTGATTCTCAATCTAAAATAATTCCATCAAGTTCTGTTTCATATCCTGCTTTTTTGTTTGTTTTTTGGTTTTGGGGTTTTTTGTTTTTTTTTTTTTTTTGAGAGGTTTTTGCTATAAGGCATGTGTGCTCACCAGAAAGACAGAGAGAGACGGAGAGACAGAAAACGAGAAATCACCCCCTAGGGGGATGGCCACGCCACATTCCCTTCTCCTCCTTTCTCCTCTCAGGATCTTGGGCACGCACGCACACACGCCCAGCTTGAGTTTAAGCCACAGGGTCCAGGACTCAAACCCCGGCGAACTACTTGGGAGTCCAGCGACATAGCCATTACACTAACTGCTGGTCCTAGTTTTTGTCTTTGTTTTTGTTTTTGTTTTGTTTTGTTTTTCATAGCACTTATCAGTACCTATTATTGTATTTATCTCTATATTTACATTAGAATGCAGGTTCCATGAGAACAGGGGCTTCATCTGTATGGTGTTCACTAATATATCTCATGGCATGAAGTTGGCACCCAGTAAGTGCATACTAAAAATTAATGAATGGCCAAAGTAAATAATAAGTTGTTCAATGTGTGGTAAGTACAATGGAGGAAAAATGAAGTTGAGTAATAAGGAGGAGAGGGAAGAGTATAGAGGCATGGTGAGGAAGCTATTTTGATTAGGGTAGATCTTTCTGAGGCAGTAACAGGGACCTGAAAGAAAGGAGAGAATAATCATGAAATACCTGCAGAAAGATTGTTCTAGACACAGGGCATAGCAAATGCAAAACCTCCCTGGCAGGAAAGGCTGGTAAGTGGGAGGACAAGTGAGGAGGTTATGTGGCTAGAGCAGAGAAAACAAGAATAGATGGCAAGGGATGAAGTTAGGAAGGAGGCAGGACCATGATAGGAGCTTTGAGGGTTGGTTTTGTTTTTGTTTTGTTTTGTTTTTCCCAATATGAATGAAAGCCACACAGAGAGGCTTGAGAGTGCACAATCTAGTGTTTGGTTTTGTTTAAGTTTACTTTGGCTGTTGGGTTGAAAATAGACTGTAAGAGAACATTTAGAAGCTATTACTATAATTCCGAGGAGACACGATAGTGGCTTGGGTATGATTTAGCATTAAGGGAATAAGAGGTGAAGAGATTTAGCCATTATTTTGGAGTTATAGTAGACAAGATTTCTAACACATTCAATGTGCACAGCTGGAAAAGAGGAAGCCGACACTGACAAGAGCTGCTTCTCGAATATATCTAACATTACAGAAAAGTTTTTAAAGTATCTCGGAAAACCCTTCCAATTTTAAGGGTAAGTACTCTCTCACTTACAGTTCAATTCTAGAAGATTGGCCAAGAACGGCTACAGTATAAAATTTTGCTAAATCCTTGCAGTGGGACGCATTTGAAAGAGGAGAACAAGAGCCCACATGCATAACTATGAGCTCCACTTTAACCACGTGCAGTTCCCACATGCTCTCACCTCTCACCACCGGGCTTGACACGGGCCTGCAGGAGCTTGAATCCATGGGTCCTGACTGAAGATGGAAGCCCTTTGCAGCTGATGGCTGGCTCTCACCCTCTATGCAGAGACCGATGTGGGCTTCCAAAGTCTCTCCCCCAGGAACCACTCCTCAGTCTGGCGTCTAAATAGAGCTAGTCCAACCTTCATCACCTCCTCTGCTCTCTTGCCTCTGCACCACTGAACAGGGTTTTTAAGTGTATAGCCTTTTTTCTCTTTGTGTTTTGTAATGTCTTGCCCTTTGTTCACCTGTGGGACTCCTGTCAGTGCCAGACTCCCCAAGTAGGGAAGACTCTCAAAACACAGTCAGCTTGTATTACCTCGCTTACAGGAAGATGAGAATGCCTACCCTAAGAGGCCTAAACTAGAACCAAAACAATTCATCCTCAACAATAGGGGCTACATGTTTTACTCCTTAGCACCGTCACTCTGTTCTTTTACCCACACGCTTCTAATCATGAGCTGAATTATTTTCAGTTTCTTACTCTTTTTTCTTCAGAATTACATGCAGAATACCCATAATAAATCTATATAGGCAACATAATAAAAAGCCTTAAAATCAGATAAACCAGGACTAATAGACTCAACTCACATTATCACGTTTCCTTCTCTTTTTTTAAGGTTTTTGCCACACAGTGTGTGCATTCAATGGAGAGAGACAGAGAGAAAGTGAGAAAGAAGGTGAGAAATCACCCCTAACCCAACACCATCCTTTCTCCTCCACTCCACTCCTGAGATTTGGGCACACACATGCATCTGGCATGATTTTCAAGCCACCAGGTCTGTGATTCAGACAGTGGTTGGCCGTGTGAGAACCCAGTGCTTTAACCACCACGTCTTGGTGGTCCCTCAAGTGTTCCTTAATGTGCCTCTGATTCAGTGTTCTCATCTGTAAAATGGGGATAATACTAATAATTACCTCATTTGCTTAGATTCAAGAATATATTCATGAAAATAATAGCATGACAATGATGAGTATGATGATGATGTTAAAAGAGACAAACCACAAAGCCACAAGGTTAAGGATATTGATGTTTTTATTGAGGTCAAATAAACATATAGCTCCATCATTATTGTAATAAATACTAATATTAGCCTTATATTAATATAAAATAATTTTCTATAAATAAATTCATTTTAATAAAATAGCATAAATACAATGCATACTTATCATAATAAATACATTTATAAATATAAAATATGGATTACAAAATATGAAGTTATTTAGGATTATTTTTCCTAAAGAAATTGGAAGCAATCTTTTCTGTAGAAATAGTAGTTTAAAAAATAAATTATTTTCTGTGTATAAAACATCAGTTACAATAAAAGTTTAGCAACAAATCTCTACACATGGATAGTTTTTCTTTTGGTCTTATGGACACAAGTGACATTTGTAAAAAGGTTTCCATTTAAAATTAAACAGGAGTTCATTTGGAATCTACCCATGAGGTAGAGTTTGGCTTCTCATTTTCCTTTTGGGAAAAAAAATTTAAAAAGCCCTTGGGGAATTGCTATTTTTAACAAGCAAAAACATCATTCAGTCATTTTCCAGCTTTGCTCTGGTCAAGCACAGACTTCTTTCATTTTCATAAAAAGCAAATTCACTTCACCAATTGCTTTGATCTCTCCACTTTCTCCAAGCTGTGAAAATAAGAATGAAAAAGTATTTGAATATTTATATCATAATTTCTAAAAAGGAACACATTAAACAGAGATGGTACGATTAGAGGGCTAGACAGAAATCAAGTTTTTAGACTTTTGCAAAAGACTAATCCCCTTTACCAAGAGCATACTGCGATTTGCTGAGGTCCTTAAAGCTACGGTTATCTACACAGAGAGGGCACCAGCAGGCATCAATCTCCTTTGGACCTCACACTTAATGGAACTGCTGTTGGATATATGAATTACCCTGGTTGAATCTTTCTACAATGTATACATAGATAAAAACGCTGCATCGTGCCTCATAGCATACACCATTATCAATTTAAAATGCAACAGCTGAGGAGTTAAGCAGAGGGTTGTCCACCCCCTCCTAACCAGAACAAGCAGACAGAAACCTTACTAGGATCTGGGGATGGGAGGCCTGAGTGTCCCCCGTTCTGACTTGCCTGCCTTATAGTCCCACCGCCATCCATGACCAATTGTTTATAACAATTCAACTCGATCGGCCTTGACTCAAAACCACACATTGACCAATACACTTCGGCTTTTTCTGTTCCCATCTTCTTGATAGATAAATAAATACAGAATTTCACTTGTGTGGGCAAAATACTAAATAAGTCCTGCTAACAGTTTCCTTTAGTTAGGAGAAAGCCAGATCGTGGTCCTAACATTAATTCTTTTCTATTCTTTCTAAGTTAATATGCAGCGATGCTCTCCAACTCAATGGGAGAGAAAGCCTAACTTCTCAGGGACAAAGCATCTTCTTCTGAAATTCATCTAATCTATTAAGGTTGCTTTAGATCGATTCAAGAAAACTCTTGTCATCATCATCTTTTATACCACCTTCTCCTTTAACTTCCTGCTTTCTTCTACCATCCTACCTTTTCATACGTCCTTTGAGATAATGCCACAATAGATGATAGATGATAGATGATAGAGAGATGATAGATAGATAACAGAGAGATGATAGATAGATAGATATAGATATAGATAGATTATATAGATAATAGATGATAGATTTTTGTATCTTGAAGATGCTTAAGGCTATAAAAGAATCTTCAAGCTTATCTTCTTTAATACTTGTCATCCATTCCATATAACCTACTCTCTGCTTTTCTGTCCAGTGACAGGGAATTAATACCTCTCAGGCTGGTCTCCCTTTTCAGACAGCCCTGGCTAGTTTTCCCCCTTTTGAACTTTCTCTGAGCAATATTCTTTCATCGTCTGTGGTTTCTAGAGCTACAGGGAAAAAACAGAACCACTCTACCGCATGGCAACCCCTTGCAAATATGAAAAATTGGTCTCCCTAAATGAATTAAAAGCTTAACCAATCTCTGTTTTCTTACACAAATCACATTTTCTTCCTCATACTTCATTTATCTGAAGATAGCAAAAGAAGTTGACATCAGGGATTTTTTTAAGACAAGAACTACAAGGCAGCTCTTGTCTATAACATGCTAACATCAGCCCTTTGCATCTAAGCAGTAGTTCTATAACAAGAGAATCGAGCTTCACAATAAATAAATAAATAAATAAATTTTTCAAACTACAAAGCCTTCAATTATCAAAGGAACACGCAGTCGTGTTCACTAAATTATGCCCAGAAAAAAAAATGACTGTTTAAAATTAAACCAAGATAGAAGAAGAAGGAATTGAGGTTAAGCTTGTTACTGAAAATTCTAACTAGAGCCTTCATGTTTAGAGTATTTAATTGCACCTGCCAGCAGGAGCATAACTTTCACTGCTACTCATCATTCGTTGGGTTTTGAGGTGAGTCACAATCACTAGTCCTAGCCTGCTTCTGTTGTCCTTTTCCCCATATCAGCTACTTAATGATATTTGTCACTGTTGACGTACACTAGCTCACATACATCGATGCTCACTAAAGGAGTGAGAGAGTGAAGGAGGAAACTGGAAAGAAATGTAAAGAGAGAGGAAGAAAAGATTGTCATTTCAGACTTCCATTTTATTATAAGTCAATAACTAATATTTTAGTTCTATTAGAAACCATGTAAAAAAAATCAGGGGTCATCTACGCTTGCTTTAATCTGAAAGCAATAGAATCATATTATAATAATTAAATGTAAATATCACTCATTCCTAAAATTCACCCTTTATGCAAGTTCTGCTCTTTTGCTACTATTTTGGGTCTGTTTCTCCAAGTTTTAAAGGCTTTAAAAACCACTTCAAACATATTTTCCCCCGGGTACTTTTCTAGCTTCAAACAAGATTTTTTTCAGGTTACATGATTCAATAGGAATCTGAAATTTCCCTTAGAATCAATAGTATAAAAACTAATAATACATATTGCTACTGAAAAAAGTGCCAGCCTGGGAGTCAGGAAGCCAGCATTCTGGCCCCAGCTCTGCCTCTCATCATCCTTAGAACATGGGTAATGAGACTGGAGGCCTTAAATGTCACGATTTACAAAATTTATAAACTGATGTATAGGTATGTAGACACCTCTACATGCACCTAAGTAATCAGCCTGTGTTTGAAGAATCAAGTAAAAAAATCACAAAGTGGAAGGAAAAAAGAAGAAGAGGAAAGAAAAGAAAACCAGTCCTCTTCAAGGACTTAGCATTAATAGTTAGTAATAATACCTTTTTCACCGTGTCTTTCAGCTTTTGCACGTTGTTCTGGATATGCTGGTCATCACCCTCGATGTGCTACAAAACAAAAGAAAAAGTAGCTATGTTAGCATTGTTGTGATGAAGCGTTACGATCCTCAGTACACATCTGAGGTGTGTCGCCATTCACCTGGGAATAAAGCTCTTAGTAATTTTGCCCACAATGACCTAGATTTCATCAGTGACCTAGATTCTTCTCTGAGCGTTTGAATTCTCTTGGATACCAAAATCCAGACACTTCCCTTATGGGGGCCCTCTCTTCATCTTTGGGAAACCTGGCTGAAGGTTAAGTTTGTGGAGAGAGTGAAGGGGGTTATGCAAATTCTGGCAGGAATAAAACCCAACTGAACTGCACCAAAATTGTGTGCTCAGAACAAGAAATGGACAGAAGACATCTGAGTCAGTGAATTCCAGACCCCTTCACTCTGCCCATTCCACTCATGCCTTTTCTCCAAGTTTTAAATATTTGGAGCCATCGAGTTCACGTCCCTCTGATTCTGTTATTCCCCGTGGCATTGGAACAGCAGCAGCAGTCGGCCCACCCACCTCCAACGCTAACTTCCCATTCTCTTTTTTCTGTTTTGCTTTCTCTTTCTTTTGCCATTCCCTCCCCGCAATATATTCTCAGTGGATCCACTTCCACATGTAGGCGTTTCTCCTTACAGTTTCTGACACCTTCTCATCAAACATAACCTGTAACTTTTATTTTTTCAGAGACAAAAAAAATGAGCCTTGTCTTCTAGATTGCCTCCTGACACCTTCTCATCAAACATAACCTATAACTTTTATTTTTTCAGAGACAAAAAAAAAATGAGCCTTGTCTTCTAGATTGCCTCCCCTACAAAAACTCAAAAAGTAATCCCAAAATGAACACACTGTGATTCCAAAGGACTTCTGACAAGGGCACTGCTCATGGCCTTCTTACTGCCAGCGTTGGGGGTGGTGGTGGGAGTCAAAGGGAAATGGGTTGCAAATGGAGGGAGGGAAGGAAGTGAGGCGTGCACAGCCATAGGCAGAGAGAACTTACGCAGGAGCTGAGCTTGTTCCTGAGCCTGTCTAGGAAGGAGATCACCTCCTGCATGTAGGGCTGGAATCTGTCAGAATTGGGGAAAAACACTTCTTCAAGGGTAAAGTTCAGCACCTGCTTCATCAGATAGCAGCGTTCTCCCATCTGCAAAAGGAAGGGAAACATTAGGGGACCTCCAGAGATCTGAAGCATCAATACTACCACCCAAAGAACCATGGATTCCTGCCTTGGCCCACCACCCTCCTCATCACTAAGTACTTACATTGACTCCACGGAACAGTTTCTCCCCAATGAGACGAACTTCTGTGTTGTTGTCTGCTGAATTTGCCTGGAAAAGAAAAAAGACTAAATGCATGGACGTGGAAGAGATAGAAGACAAGTGTGTAAGTAGAGATGTACTCCATGCCCTCTCCCCATGGTAGCTCCACAAAGACGAAAAATAGAATGCAGAGGTAGGCATGAGTTCAGACTGATACACAGACAAGGAAAGGAAAAATTAATAATCCAGGTGAGCTGCTGAGTGGCTCCTCTTTGGTGAAATTCAATGTATGTATTCTAAAGGCCAAAATGGCAAGAAAGCGTTCTGGTAAAAACCAGATCCCCAGTGTCTCAGAAGACACAGAAAATGACACCCATCAGAATGAAAGAGCATATTCCTAAAAATCTTGGAGGTGCTTTTTTCTAAGAACAAACATTTAAGAGCCATTAGGGTTCCAAGTAGATACAACGAGAAAACGAGAGAGATTGGGAGGACTACCTCCTTGGCCAGCATGAAGGTGCGGTTGATGATGTAGGCCTGCTGGAAGTTGGACTTGTTAAGTTTGCAGTGGGAGCTGATGGGCACAGTTACTCCTTCCTGCACCAACAAGACCATGAGGAAGCAGCTGGCTGCCAGAATCCCCATAAGGGAAGAGTTCACAGATTTCTGCAGGGTGGCCATTGCAGACAACTCTTTCTGAAATAATTGGCGACTGGAGAAGGAGAACCTGTATCAAAAGAATAAAAGGTAAAGACAATGTGAGGAGAAAAATCAACCAAGTATCACACCAAACAAACTAATTGTATCAAGTTTGCTGAAACACTTACCTGTTTCGGTAGCTCTGTGATGAGAAGAGTAGAAGCTACTGCTTTTATAGCCCCCAGGACAGCAGATTTTTTTTTAAAAAAAATATGACATCAGCCATTATCTAATTTCCAGCACAGTCTTCTGAGAACTACCTAACCACCACAGGAGGCCACAAACGCCACCTCCTATCCTTCCCACCTTGAGATGCAAGCGTTGCCCTAAAACGTCACTATTAGGGCCTAGAAGGTACTTTTACAGATAAATCCCAGAAATTTTCTAAACCCTACATATTTTTCAAAGAACACAATTGCTTTGTCTTAGTAGATTCCAGGTTTAGTATAATATTCTTTGATCTCCTATAGTAACTGAGTAAGCATTTTGGTCACGGACTCATTTTCCTACCAACTTCATAGATTCTTATCTCATTAGAAATGATTTGAAATAAATAACTCGCGTCCTACATCCCCTGCTTTAAAGTAAACAGTAATGATGGCTTGGAGACAATTCACTTTTAAAAATAATTTGTCATTTATTGTAACACGCTGAATCTTAAGTCAGACTTTTATTTTTAAAATGAGTATTGGCCAGTCTAATCACTCTTTTTTTTCCCATTCTGGGACTATCTGTAAAAGAGCACAATAGTTGTGGTAGATGCAAACATATCTTATCATTTTATTCATGAAATCACACCCAATATCAATTGACGTTTGAAAATCTTCATACTGAACAATCATCACCATTTTTATTGACATCTAAGTGTTTTCTTCTAATGAAAGATACTGTGGATTCAGTAATTCATTCTGAAATTTTCCCTGCACTAATTCTAAATGACACACATCTCCAAATAATGTTTCCAAATACTTTATAACGGTATTTTTCATGACAGGATCTCAGTGTCAGTCTCCCACATCGCCGGTCATAGGCGGGGGCCACCACATCTTTAGGTTGGGCTAGAATCAAATGTGGGCTTCTCTCATGGCCCCAGCCTGTGGAGCACAGCCTCCGCACCACACACCACTGCAGCTGGGCCCAACACACTTCACTATATGTACAGATGTTTCAAAAAGTTACTCTGGGAATATAGTGGTCCCATGTTAAAACTTTAAATTATTAAAAAATATATTGAATCCTAAAGAACACCTGAACGACTAGACTGGAAACCTCTCAATCAGTGAGAGCAAGAAGCAAGTGTAATTATCAAAATGCAAGTATCTGTAGGTGGAGCAAAGAATGTGAATTAGTGCAAATTAGTGTGATCAGATTGCTGTCTTCTCCCTAGTTACCCTCTGGACTGTTGAAGAGCTGGGAGAAGAAATGTCCGTAATTAGAGAATCTTGAACCCTTTTGTGAGATGGCACAGATGGAAGAGAGGTGCCACTGAAAAGGGTCAGAACAGTGAGAACACTGAGGACGTGGCCAGAGGAGAAAGATACAGAAGGGAAGTTTAGAGGACCAGCAGATGGCATAATAGTTACCTCGCTGGACGCCCACGTAGTCAACCACGGTTCAAATATCGGACCTGGTGGCTTAAACTCATGCCAGGCATGTGTGCACATGTGCCCAAAGTCCTGAGAGAATGGAGGAGAAGGGATTGAGATGTGGCCGTCCCCCCTGGGGGTAATTTCTTGCTTTCTATCTTCTCTGCTCTCTCTGTCTTTCTGGTGAGCACACATGCCCTATAGCAAAAACCTCTCCAAAAAAAAAAAAAAATAGGTGCTCCTTAGAGAGATTGTGGATATATTTAAAACTGCTCCTGTTTAATAAAACAAGACAAAACAGAAAAAAAGAAAAGAAAAGGAAGAAATTAATTAAAACTAGAAGCCTTTATCATAGTGGTTAAACATTTCCATTGAGAGCCAGATCCCTCATGGCTGACTCCAGTTTAAATGTTAATCCCAGCAGATTGAAAAACATGCCAGGTGAGAGTGCATGCCTGTCTGAAATCCTGAGAGGATGGAGAAATGGAGGAATAAGGATTACAGCATTAACGCAACCCACTGAGAGGTTCTCTCTCTCTCTTTTTCTCTCTCTCTGGCAAGTGCACATTCTCACTGGCAATTAAAAGGAAAAAAAAAACTACAGACATATGTGTGCTAAATAATTAATTTCAGATCATGATGAGCCTTCTCTTTATTTTCTTTGAATTTTCAACTCTTTCTCAAAGCCATCACAGATAAAGGGCCACCCCAGCACCATGATCCCTGGCCTCAGACAGACGATAGTCATGACTGATCTTAGATTCTTAGACACATGGAACAATGTCAGAAAGGACTCATCAGAATCCTCAATCAGAAGGTAGGTGTTTGCTCTCTTGTTCACTCACACCTGCCATAGGACAGTGTCTGGCCTGCAGATGCGTCAACACTCACTGACTGCATGAATAAAATCTACTTCCCGGCTCTGACCGGTGCTTGAAAATCCACAACTAAAGACGCAGTCTTTAAAGTATAAATCTTTCTCTATTTAATAAAAGGATTCTGTGACTGTGATTTAACAGTACAAATTATTTCTTCAGTTTGCTTTGAAGTTTTATGCCTGAAGTTCCTTTCTTTCTTTATTTTATCATTTCTTATTTATATTTAATTGCTATATGTCTTTGCTCTCCAGAAAGACAGCATTAACAACCCTCCCACATCAGTGAGTAAAGCTTTCTGTCTCTCTGCATTCTCAATACTCAAATTTGGTATTATCCAGTTCTAACTTTGCCTGCCATTGGGGATTTAGAATAGTATCTCAAGCCAGCTGGTGGTGCGGTGATTAAAGTGGCTGGGTCCCACAGAGTCGATTGGATGGTTGGAGTCCTGGACCTGAAGGCTTAAACAACATGCTAGATGTGTATGTGTGTGTATAACCAAAATCCTAAGAGGAGATTGGAGAAGGGACTGTGGCATAGCCATCTCCCCTGAGAAGTGCTTTCTTGCTCTCTCTCTCGCTCGCTCTCTCTCTCTCTCATGAGCACGTGTGCCCTAAATAAAAAAAATTTTTTTAAGTATTTCATTGTTGTTTATATAGGTGGGAACACATTTATTGGTAGCATTTTATTGTCTCATAATCCTCCTGCCACAGCTGGGCTTACAAGCACCATGTCTGACTTCTTAGGGTGGTCGGACTCAAACATGGATCTCACGTGTGGCCTCAGCCTGCTGCGCAGAAGCCTCGCTCATGCCCCTCTCCTTCTGGGCCGCATTATTGCTTTATTGCACTGTCTGGAAAGTCATGATGCACTTTTGCATAGAAAAACAGAACCATACACGTGACTTTCCTGACCAACTTTCCTCCTACACTGGAAACCACTTGAGTTTCTCCCTTCTATGAATTGACTACTTAAATTATTTGCCCATTTTTCTAGCAGGTTTAATTTGTGAGAATTCTCTGTATATTTTAGAAATTACTCCCTTTTTGAGAGTAGACATAACAAACTCTTCTCCTAACTTGTGTTTCCACGACTAAATTTGTCTATTTAGCTTTTAATCAACAAAATACTTAATTTGGATGCCACCTAAGACATCATTTTCATTATAAGGTTTTTTTGTTTGTTTGTTTGTTTGGTTTCCCAAAGATTTGTTTCAAAAAGCCTTTCTTCATCTCTAGGTCACAAAGATTTTTTTTCCTCTTGTCTTCTATTTATCTATGTTTTATCATTCACTGTCTGCTCTTTCATAACTTTTATATGTGTAACAAATTCAGTTTTATTTTTCTCTGTATAATGAGACAATTTTTCTGACACCGTTCACCAAACAATGAGATCTTTATCGTGTCTGAACTTCTCATACATATAACTATCTCTGACCTCTCTATTTTGTTCCATTGGTTTCTTTTCTCTCCCTTTTTATTCTTTAGCCTGTTTCATAATATTTTATTACTGAGGAGTGTCTTTGTACCTGAACAGGAAAATCTAACCTCTTTGTTCTATTTTTTTAGGGCTGACTTAGCTATTCATGGACATTTCATATGAATGTTATATTAAATCTATCAAGTTCCTGGAAAAAAAATGCAGCAAAAATTTTTATTGAGTTTTATATAATTTTTTAAAACCAATTTTTTGAGAATTAACATCTTTATAATATGAATTTATTCCATCCAAAAGCATTGACCATCTCTCTAGTAAAGATCTTCTTTTATACCTTTTGACAGTATCTCAAAATGCTCTCCACTGAGGTCTTTGTATTAGCTTTACTCCCCAGTAGCATTATAGAAAAAACAGGCTGTTAAGCTATTATTAGTCACTTTTTCCTTGCTGTGAATAAGTATGAGGTTGGCTGGGAGAAAGGGACTACTGAGATAATCTCCTGAAAACATAAAGCTCAAGTCCTTCTTTTCACAGTCACAGGGGAAGAGAAGACAGAAAGACAGAGAGCAAAAGCTAGAGACTGGGATTTCCAAACATGAGCTTCGTTTCCTTCCTAGCTCTGCTCTCAGCTCATCCTGATGGTACCCAGAATAATTTCTTGGTCACCTCACCCTGTCATACCTTGCCCACAGAGAAACTTGCCAGCCACAGCCACTTTCCCCTTCTTCCTGAGGACTTAGTCTATTCAGCTGGTCTTGTGTCTTTCCTCTCTAACAATACCAAATACTTAAATAAATTCAAATGATAGAAAACATTTATGCACTTCCTCACCCCTGTAGTGCAACCAGAATTTTGTATCAGCTTCTAGCCCCTGTCCCCTATTGTCACCAAGTTTTAAAATTCCAGAGGTCCATCCCAGTCTTTCATTTTGTTCACTATTTTGACTAAGAAACAGGTGTAAAGAATAAGAACTCACGTTCACTTTCTCCGCTTGAGAGTCAATGGTACAGTTAATTCACAAGAACCAGTGACTCTTTTATCCCAGTTCTCTAGGCAGCTTTAGGATTATTAAAGTTTCTCATGGTCATTTTGCAGAGGTTCAATATTTTTTTAAAGATAACTTTTAAAAA